TGGAGGGTCAAATCCATTCCCAATGGCAAAGGTGAGACTTCTCCAGATAGCACCAGATGGGGACCTGGGTAGGGTGGGAGCAGGGAGAAAGGTACAGCTCCTCTGCTGTTTTCTTCAGGTCCCCTCCCACTCAGGACTGCTAAAACTGCAGACCCGCTCACACCCACAGAGGGCAGCATCAGGGTCTGGTCAGACTTCCTCCGCGTCCACCTCCATCCCCGAAGCATTTGTATGATTCAGAAGTACAACCATGACGGGTAGGAGGGCCCCAGAGGCTGTGCAGCAGGAAACCTGGGTCCCCACCAGTGCGAGATAAGGCTCTTGAGGTCGTCCTCAACTGCCATCCTGCGAAACAAAAAGACCCAGGAGTGAGGGCGGGGATGGTTTCTCCTGTCTGTAAGTCCTGGGTCATGTTTACATGTGGCAGGGAGACAGGTCGGCTGGAGGCTTTCGGCCAAGGGGAGAGTATCCTGAAGGAACCTGGGTACCTGGAAGAGCTGGAGGACAGGCTACACTTCTACGTGGAGGAGTGCGACTACCTGCAGGTAGCTGTGTGGGCAGGTGGACACCAGGGTAGGAACTCTTCTCATCCTACAATCTATTTCCTCCATCTTTCCCCTCCCCTTCCAGGGTTTCCAGATCCTGTGTGACCTGCATGATGGCTTCTCTGGGGTCGGTGCTAAGACCGCAGAGTTACTAAAGGACGAGTACTCAGGGCGGGGAATAATAGCCTGGGGCCTGCTCCCTGGTCCCTACAGCCTTGGGGTGAGTAGAACTTGCAGCGAAAGCAGTCAGAGGGTGGGAGGGAGAAATGAGAGAATGAAGCCCCAGGAGAAGGTTGCTTAAAGCAAACCGCTCTCTGTTCTTTCACCAGGAGCCCCAGAAGAACATCTACCGTCTGTTAAACACAGCTTTCGGCCTGGTGCACTTGACCGCTCACAGCTCTCTCGTCTGCCCCTTGTCCTTGGGTGGGAGCCTGGGCCTGCGACCCGAGCCGCCTGTCGCCTTCCCACACCTGCATTATGATGTAAGGTTCTAGGTTCTTGTTCTGACAGCAGCGGGCCACACACTCCTCCGGTCAGCCTGTGTCTGTTACTGGAGTATCTGTAACTTGAAGCTGAGCGGAACTCAGCTGTGCTGTGACCTGTTAGATCCCATGGTGTCTGTGCTTGTCCAGTCTTGGCCCAAACACAGGGGCCTGCTTCTTCCCGAGCACGAGGCCTCTGCCCTTACTGTTTGTCCTCCACACTCCCTGTCCAGGCCCCAAAGGCCAAGTGCTTCTCTCGGTGTCCCCTTTCCAGGCCTCTCTGCCCTGCCACTGCAGTGCCATCCTGGCCACCGCCCTGGACACAGTCACTGTTCCTTATCGCCTGCGTTCCTCGCCACTTTCCATGGTTCACCTGGCTGATATGCTCAGCTTCTCTGGGAAGAAGGTATGGAGGTTTGGGAAGGTGTGGGTCGGAGGTGAGAAAAGGCTCTGTGACCTGACCTCTTCCTTGCTTTTAGGTGGTCACAGCAGGAGCCACCATCCCCTTCCCTTCAGGCCAGTCCCTTCCTGACACCCTGATGCAGCTTGGGGGAGCCACCCCGTGGATCCCGCTGTCTGCATGTGGGGACCCATCTGGGGCACGCTGCTTTGCCCAGTCCGTGGTGCTGAGGGGTTTAGACAGAGCACGCCACACCAGGTGAGCACTGCAGGTCCTTGGGATCCCTCGTCAGACTGCTGCCTTTTGCCCCCTTGTGCCTCTCAGCATTCTCACGGCACTGCCCTCGCTTCCTCCCTCTCCCCCTCTCCCCCTCTGTGTGTGAGGATCCTGATTCGGCTGATGGTTTGGGAGAGGAATTATCCTTAGTTTTCTCATATTCATGCCGGCACAGAATAAGGTGGTTTGGGTTTTGTTCTGGCAGTCAGCTCACCCCAGGGACACCCCTGCCCTCTCCACTCCACGCCTGTGCCACTGGGGAAGAAGTCTTGGCCCAGTACCTGCAGCAGCAGCAGCCCACAGCCCTGAGGTCAGTGTAGTGCTTGCCACAGCCCCCTGCCCCGCCCCTGGCCTCCCTGATTTCTGCTCACTCCGCTTCTCTTCACTTCTGCCTAGTTCCTCCCACCTGCTGCTGACGCCCTGCAAGGTGGTTCCTCCGTACCCACGCCTCCTTTCCAGCTGCAGCCAGCTGGGTTTGCTGACGGATGCTCCCCCAACGAGGGCAGGTATGTAGCTGGTGAAGAAGGCACGATTTCCAGCATGGGGGAGATTGTACCGTCTCCCTTGGTTTACATGCTGAAGATGCAGAGTTAGACGTTCCTTTATTCACCTTGTGGCTCCTGAAAAAAGGGCTCTCTCTTCTCTTGAGTGCTGGTGTGCTAAGGGGGCAGTACACAACATTTGCAGAGTCTGCAAACACGTCTAGCCCAGGCCCAGACTCCCCGTTAGCCACAGAGTCCACTGACAGGCCCCACTTCTCTCCCTCCACAGCAGCGGCGAGCATCCCGGTGTTTGGGGCCCTGTGTTCCTCTTCGTCCTTGCACCAGGCCCTGGGAGGCCTGGCCAGAGAGCTCGCCAGACTCGACTTGCGGCGCTGGGCCAGCTTCATGGC